TGACTGCAATACTCCATATGCTCATCCAGGATATCCTGTCTTGAGAAGTGAGACAAACACCTGCGGCAAAAGAACAGTTCATGACCATGCTCTGAGATTTGACAGCTCAAAAGTCGAGATAGGCTCTTAATCCAGCAATAGTGCTGCTTGCTCTTATTGGTCAGGAACAGAAGATCTACATGTCTCGAACCTGTATTCTTAGATATTCTGAGGGGATATATTTGGAGGTCCTCTTCTTCATCTTCACCCTTCTTTACACCGTCAAAGCCAAAGACGTTAATGTTTAGGTCGGTGTTCTGCCTCTCGAATTTGTCAATGGCCTTTAGCGAGACTGGAAACTCAATGCCATCAAAATTGAACTCATCAGCCCACTTTTTGTACTGACCCACCCGTTTGGTACAGTTTTTGTCAACTTCCTCATGATGTAGGGCTGAAAGAATGGCCCAGCGTAAGCATTCCTGATCAGTATTCTGCACATTGATGATAACTTTCTTTTGAGCGAGCGGTTTTGGCAATGCTATGTAGGAACTGCCCTTGAGAGGTTTAAACTTGTTTAAGTGGATTTCTAGCTTTTCAATATGACCAAATGTCCACCCACTACCTTCACGCATGTATTTAGCCATATTTTCTTTGACCTTCTCGACCATAAATGCTATTTCCAACTCAAGGCCTGTGGATTCGGTGATGGTGGTAAGGGTTGATCTAAAGTGGGGAATGACGTAGATATTTTCTCCGGTCGCTGGGTTTGTTTTTACCATCTCCACCTGTAGTACTAATTGCACTTTTAGGGCCTTCTTTTTGGTGAGTGCATCTGAAATTGTGCTGGCGATAGTGCTTTGACTTACATTAAAAAACTTTAGCATATCATGCTGTTTCAAGGGTTCAATGGTGATTGTGCCAAATACACCTTTCAATGCATCGCGTCGGTTAATAATTTTGATTTCCTCTTCAACGGGGGCATTTTCAATGTTCTTTTTCACCAGTTCGGTCAGGTCAGCTCTCCCTAGTCGGGAATAGTTGGTAATTCCCCGTCTTTTGGCAATGGTCTTCAGTTCCTTTTTGGTAAAAACCTCTTCGCGAGTAAATTTGTGGGCAGTATTGGTCTCAATTAACTTAACCAATTCCCCCTTGGGTTTCCTACTATATCCCTTAAGACCCTCCTTCTTTGCGATTTTTCGAAGTTCTTTCATGGTGGTTTTCACCACAATATTCCCTAAAACTGGGGTATCCTCCTGCTGGTGTGGTTCTTTACTGTGTCTCCAGCAAAGCCCATCTTTCCCTGGTTTACTCTTACAAAACTGCCCCTTCTTTCTTTTTAGTGGAGCACCACAAGTTTTGAGTTCTTCATTCTCTTTGAACTGATCCATATTCATATCAACACTATTGGATGCCATCCCTTCATGTATATCAATTTGGGGAATGCTTCCTTCTAAGGTATTTGGGGCTGGGGTATCTCTGACGTTTTGTGTAAAAGACATATTTGTATTTACCCTAGGATTACATCCTTCTAAGGTGTTTGGGTTTTGTGCTAAACTGAAAGACATTCTTGTTTTTACCCTTAGGCTAATTGAAACGTATTGCGTTTGCATTTTATGTTTGGGGTTGGGGTTCCTATGCTGAATTTGTGCTTAAAATGGCAAGTGCCGCAGAATCGGCCTTTTTACACTACTACAAGCCCAAACGAAAAAATATAAACAAGTCTAAATTGAAAACAACGTTCAAACCTATGATTGCGTTGGATAAAGACCGCAATTTTTATACGTGTGCATGCAAAACAAATTTCTTGGTAGAGGGGTCTAAATACAGCACAAACAACATTTTCCAAAAGACCAAAAAAAAGTGAAAAGTATATTTAAGCAAAACGCATTTTGGGCTAGGATGAAAAATTTTGTCCTGCAATTTTTTTAAGTTGTAATCTCTGTCCTGCCTTTTTATTTTTCTTTCTATTTGGTCCTGCCTATTTTTATCAGTTTATCCTGACTATTTTACATAAATTGTCATCCTGCCTTTTTTTTTGGCAAAGTTGCTCATCCTGCCTTTTTTTCAAATTTTCAAATTTCATCCAATTTTCATACAATCAAATGGTAGCTCCCTAACAGCATATGGTGATAAATATATATATACTAGTACAAATAAGTTTGTTCTTGAAAAGTATCAATAAAGGGACGTAACTCTAAAGTTAATAACGGAATCTCTTCGTCAGAAATTTTGACAGATCGAAGTGGCACATTTGCGTATTACAGCATATAAGTGGCACAAATTTGACTCAAGGCAGTTGATAAAGAACCTCATCACATATTTTGAATTCAGCATTGATTCAGAGGAAGTTGAGAAAGAAATTTAAACTTCTTTGTTAAAAAACATTGACTCGACGGGTGACAACCTGGGGATTGAAGGATTCGTATTCTAATCCACACTTGTCATTTAGAACATACGACATACTTTGATTTCTTTTCACAGAAATTTTTGAAGGAAACCGACTTGTTTCAGTTGAACAAAAAATTACTAAAAGTATGCCCAAATATGGTAGTCACATGACTTCCATTGTTGTCTTTAGAAATGGGGTCAAACAGGGGTCAGCTTTTCGACTGATAAAGAAAACTAAAAATGACCGGAACAAAGAGATCTACAAATTAGTCAACTTTACAGAAATCGTCAAATGAGAGTTATTGCTTTTAACTGGTGAATTGTTTTTATCCTTTTTGAATTTTGTTGGGGAACTTGAAGACTATAATATACTCTAATAATATAAGTTTTAAAAAGCAAAAGTGTTCAGATAAATGAGATCTAAAAATAAGTCAACTTGGCCAGAATTATCAGATGGCCGGTTATAGGAGTTATTGCCCTTTTAAATGGTTGTATTAATTTATAATTTATGCAGAAACCATTATCAATAGAAGAGGAATTGTAAATAGCATAGATGTTTTTAGCAAAATAAGATCTACAATCAAAACACCATGGTCGAAATTTTTAACTAACTTAGGAGTGATTGCCCCTGAATGACAATTTTTACCCATTTATAATTTTTTGGCAGAAAAAAAGATAGACAGCAACAATATTCAGCAAAAATAAGATCTACAAATAAGTCAACATGGTTGAAATCGTCATTGATTCCTGTCCTTGAAAGATATTTTTCTGTGCACAAACTATGATAAATAGAGTAAAAAAGCCAAAACGTTCAGCACACTAACATCTACAAATCAATGATCATGGCTGAAATTGTCAACGGACTCTTTATAGAAGTTATTTCCCCTAAATGATGATTTTTATCCATTTTATTCATAGTTTTGTCAAAAACTATAGGAGTTAAAGAGAAATTTCAAAGAGCAAAAACAGATCAGAAGGATAATATATACAAGTCGGTCAACATGGCCAAATTGTCACACTAAATATAGAATTTATTGCCATGTAATGATTTTTCATATCTCAAAAAACTTTAATTGATAGGTATAAACTAAAACAATAAAAATGATCATCAGTACAAGACCTTCAATCACTAATTAAGATCTACAAAGAAGCAAATATAACTGATTGCATACAAAAGGGGAAAATTAAATATAAAAATGGCATATATTTAACCAAGTGAGCAATTCAGCCTCTTGAGAGCCTCTTGTATTTTATTGGGGTGTAAATAAAGCGTTGACCAAAGCACATGTTGTGTGCGTCGCGGAAATGCTTCATACTAAAAATGTGCGCACGATCAACTCTTTTACAACCCCATAAAATTACAAAAATGAAACATTCAATCTTTAGAATTATATTTTAATGCTACAATCATGAAATGACGAGTATATAGACAAATTTTCGTTTATTTCCTATGCGTTGTTATGACATGGGAAATAAAACTGACGCTATTTTGGCAGTTTCCACAAATCGCTCAGGAAAAGTTGACCTTAGACGAATTTTGGAAACACTTTTTAGGTCCCTTTCGGTCGTGTAGCTTCTCGCGTTTTTATGTATTAATACAAGAAATGTGTATGGCTTGAGGTTTTCTGATGAAAGTAAATGCAGAAAAGCGCTCCGGACTCACGACTCACGAAATTCATAAAATGTTATTTTCGTTTAAGAGTTTTGTATTAAATTCCAGAAAGTTGTATCCTTATATGAGACTCAATGAAAAATTACAAACTGTTATCTGAAAAACATATTTCGGTACGTACGTGAACGATTTTATAGCTGATAATGATATCGATTGATTCACGATTGCTTAATTTGTCGGCGAAAAATACTGATTTGCGACAGGTGCAATAATGCTTATGGATAATTTTAAATGAACATGTGAATTTAAATCATTTAAGGAGATAATTGTTGAAGTTTCTGCATAGAAAAAATAACCAAGTGACTTAACAGATTAAAACATAACGTTCAACAGTTCAAAAACATGAGTCTTAAAATTATACGGATATTGGTAGTAGACAACCTATTACATCTGCCTTTTAAAAAAAAAAAAAAAAAAAATAAAATAAGACGTTATAAATCATATCCGTCAAAAGTGCTTTTTTGGATTTACCCAGGAAACTCAAAGCAAATTATTTGAAAGAAATTACATCTTTAACTTCCCACACACGTTGAGAGCTATATGACCATAAGGGATATAAAGATAATAGCCAATGCCTTTAAGGTCAACTTTCCCTGAGGGAGTTGCACAAAATATTTGTAATAGAAAAATCCCCGCATTTCCAAATACAAACCTGAAACAAAATTTATACATTAGTTGACCTACAAATGCTGATCTATGACTTTTTTGTTCATATGTTATATGGTAAACGATTTAGTACTATACATTTGACCTTTTAATGATATTTCTATGCATTGTAAAAAAAACAAAAAACAGAAGCATCAAATGATTTAATCAAAGCAAAATATTAAAATGTCAAAATTCATTGCGAAAATTAATTTTTTTTATCAGATAGCATGTGTTCACAGAATCATTTATTCTATAAAAGCAATTCTTCCATGACCTAGATTTAACACGTTATCAAGATTATTTAATTTTATAGATTCAACGAATAAGAATGATTTTACTTGGAAACCTCAATGGAAAAACTTTCGTATCAAAATATGCTCCCAAGACAAAGTTTTGGAGAACCCTTCCGGGTACCTTGTTCCAATAAAAATGCAGTTTTTAATGACACATCATTTCTCAACAGTACAGAAAATTATTCGCAATTTGGATATTTCAACAATTGAAAGCATTAACTCGACAGAAGAACTTTTGGAAATAAAGTTAAAGTCAGTAGAAGATGAAGATATCTTAACTGAAATTGAGAGAGCTTTAGCTAGAGTAACTGATGAAATTGTTATGAAACCTATTCAAAGACTCAAGTTTACATCAAGCTTAGTTGAGGAGCTATTTGAACAGAAATTAAAGGAGAAAAGCATCACACTTATGCGAGACGAAACCAATATATTCATTGTAGGATTTGAAAAGATGAAGTCTTTCATATCTAAAATTATTGACGAGATCCATCGAGTTACTGCCAAAAAAGTAGTAAAACTGGAAGATAAGTGGAAAACTGAAGCTGTAAAGTGTTTTGGGATTGCTGAAACAATCAGTAAAACATTTACTGATGTAGTCGTTCGACTACAGGAAGACAATTCGAGTGTTTATTTAAAAGGGAGAGATATCACGATTAACAAAGCAGAAAAAGAAGTACACAAATTGTTGTCAGATTTGTTTAGCGAGACGTTACACTTTGACCCACTGACCCTGAAACTTTTGAAATGTCAAGAAGCTTCCAAACTTTTCAAAGAAATTCTTCAAAAGGAACATCTTCAAGTCGTTTGGACAGTAGACAGTACTCATCTCTACCTTTTTAGCAAAACAAAAATCAACACAGATGCCGTAAAGGCAATTGTCTACGGAAACTTTTTGACAGCAGGGTTTTCCAAATCAACTCCACCTGGAAACCAGTTTTGCAAAAGCGATACCTTTTCTGAAATGACAAAGAATCATAACAATTAGTTAATTTTTCTTGATACAACCGAAGCAAGTGTAAACATTGCTGGAACTAAGAGTCTTATGTTGCATCTTTATCAGCAGGAGAAGTTATTCTACAATGATATAGGTATGTTTACTTCTATCCGTACTGAAATCAAGTTGTTACCTTTTCAGTAGATTAAACAGTTTAAAAAAAATAAAATGTAAGACATGTACTCTACAAGATTAACTGACAACAATTAGGGTTCACAAACTGTAATAGTAGAAATTAACAGGAATAAAGACGGCCTATTCAAAAATTCAAAATTAATCATAAATGACACCGACAAACCTTTAGATGATGTAATCTGATTTGTTATTGGGTGTTTTTGACATATATTCAACTACATCTTATTTTTGACATAAATGACAACGACAAACCTTTAGATGATGTAATCTGATTTGTTATTGGGTGCTTTTGACATATATCCAACTACTCCTTCTTTTCATGAATATTGAAAGTTATAGGGACACATTCATATATTATGTACAGAAACAATTTTTTAGTATGTTCACATGAAAATTAATATGTTTATTCAAAAATCCACAAATATTTGTAGTTTTTCTCTTTTATATGAAAACCAGTGTCACTCCCGTATAATTATACAATTGTCAGTTTTATTGTTTGTATATCATGCCATAGCAATTCGTGCAAAAGGACTGCTGCCATCTTTAATACGTGTCATAATTCTTTTTAATCTAATATCCTAAGGTTATGAATGAATATATATATGCTGATGGCATATTTTGTTACCCTCAAGTAATTGCTATCCCTCAGGCCTGACTGTAAATGAAAACTTATTACACAATTGTGTTCAAGTGGTGATAAATCATAGAAAATTGCAGTATTTCTTTATGTGTATTAATCAGTTCCTAATTTCATCACTAGCATAAAAAAGTATATAAAAGATATGTGCATTCCTTTATTTGCACATTGGCAAACAATTGAAACATATTTGATTCATATAATTATTGACTTTTTGCATAATTAGTATGGGCATTAAAGAAATGATTCAAACATATATGGTCAAAACATCAACGCAAATGATACCAATCTTAGTACAGTATTTATAAAAAAAATAATTAAGTAAGATTTCAATTCAACATGAACACCTTTCTTCATTCATTTTTTAGATAATGGTATAATTTATCCACTGGATCCTATTAAGCTTTAAGTTGCACATGTAAAAAACCTAATGTAATAAATCAGTTAACTGATATCCCTGATTAATGTAAATAATAATTTCCTTGGCCCCATATTTTTTGAAATGCTGCATTGAAGACTATGAATCAGTTACTCGTGTTGACAAAATATCATTGATATTGCTTTATGCATTTAATGTAATAAAGGTGACAAACTATACAAAATGTTTTACTAAACTGAAACAATTTGAATTACTTGGAGTATGTGTAAAGTGATTTTCAATATAACATTTAGATTTCTATTTTTATCGTCTAGATTCATCAGTAGTTATGATCCTCATTTTTCTTTCTTTACAGAGGCTGCAAAATGTGATGAGCAGAAGATAATGTCGGTAGCAAATGACAACTGTCTTATGAGACCATATGATAATCCACATGACTTGATGCAGGTTGTACTTCTAAGTAGCTATTTAAACTGTAGTTGATCCAAAAAAATACAAAATTAGGCATTGTGGACAAAGAGGGAAAAGTCATGTTAGTCTAATTTGAATTTTTTTTTTCATTATTCAAAAAGGGGAGGAGATTCCAAAGTGGCATTTAACCAAAACAAACAACATCACGACCAAAGGAAAAATGAAGAAAAGACATACTACAGTCTGTTAAATTAAACAGAAATCATAAGTTTGAGCAACATGAACCTCATGTTCTACTCAGGGGATTTCGAATGATGAGCAGTTCCTGCTCTATTAGTAACACTCGTCATGTTTCTCATATCAAGGACTATTTTATGATAATCAACAAAAAAAGTCACCATTAACTACAGTTATATCTACACATGCGGGAATTTGTGGGATGTGCAACTACATCTATATTTCAGTCATGGCATTGCCAAGTATTGAGACAGTAAAAAACTGTCTTAAACAGCCACACTTACCACATGTAGAACAGGAACTGCTTACCCTTCCGGAGCACCTGAGATCACCCCCGGGTTTTGATTGGTTTGTGTTGCTCAGTCCTTAGTTTTCATCGTTGTGTTAAGTGTACTGTTTGTCTTTTCGTCGTTTTTCGTTTTTTTTTTGCCATAGCATAGTCAGTTTGTTTTCGACATATGAGTTTGAATATCCCTTTGGTATGTGTTGCCTTTTTTAAAACCAGAATATAGTCAATAAATGTATCCACACATTTACAACTCATCCTTTTTAAATCAAGTACATGATAAAAAAAAATGATATAATGAAATGTCTTAAGTTATAACACATATGAGAGAGTATTAAGGTTAAAGTGTTTATTTGTCAGACTTTTATTGATTTTTTCAATTGTGCATGATCGTAAATGATTAGTTCGTGTCATTAATTAGTTATCAGGATTCTATCGCAAGGTAAAATCCTAATTACCTCATATCTATATCATCCATAAATGGTCGTGGACATGAAACAACAACCTGCATTTTGCTGCCCGCTACATATGTTTGTTTTTTTTCTGTGTTATTGTGTTGCTGTCTCATTGTTAAATCTACACATTCTTTGATTCATGAAGAATTTGAAAGAACAATGTTAAATAATTATCTTTGAATAAATATATACAGTTTCAAGTATCAGTTCGTATAATGATGTTTATTTTGAAAGTTCCATAATCAGTTTATCCTAATATGATATTGTATAATCATATGATGAACGTGATTGATAAAGTGATCAAAAGATCGAACAGAATTTATTCTATGTGGATATGCTATGCTAGTTTGGAGATACCAATATTGTATATCACGGAGCCGGTTGACAGATAATTACGACCAGAAAATAAAAAACTGATACTCACAAATCTTCAAATACAATACTGGTATCTCCGTTCTAATGCAACTGCGCATGCAAGAAGACATCATTTTATCATATATATAAATCAGACACACAAAGTCTTCGCTTGTGTGTCCAGTTTTAGACCATCAATCATAAAATTGGTGTACTTAAATTAGCAGCATTTTACAATCAAAATGAACGTTCCAAATAATGCTGCATTGAAATTAAGGTTGGTCAGCGCTCCTTACATATAAATATGCCATTATATTACTAAGCAGTTTTATTGCAATTTTTAAGGGACAATCATTGTATTCTCAAACAACAATTTTTTCACTGTTTCAGCTTTCCCTATATCCAGCAAGTTCCTATTGATGAATTTGTTTCTAAAATGTATGTATATAATTTTGTAAATTTTTATTGTTTGAGATTATAAGTAAAATCACGAAGAAACAACACAATCTTTAAAATCAGTGTAATATATATATCAACAGAACTGTATTTTACAGAGTGAAAGCCAACCAAAATATAATGTGATATATCCATGTGAAACTATGCCTATGCCAGGACCAAGTTTTCAACATCACCTTGGAGGTCACCAGAGTCAGCCATATGAACCATGTTTAGCCCCTGGACTAGGATCAGGATATCCTTATCATAATCCACATCAGCCACCACGATACGTAGGACACCAATCACAACTTGATTTAAAGGAACCAACTTCTCGTCCAGACTTGCAGAAGCCACTGTATCATCCAGATTTACAGAGACCACTGTCTCATATAGATATGGAAAGACTACCATATAAATATGAGGTGCGAGTCAACATAGCATCAATATCATAAAATGTTCTAACATATCTTCTGTCTACAAAACAGAAATCATAAGTTTGAAAAAATGACACCTTAACTTAAAGGGGGGGGGGTTACTCGGATGATAACAAAGGATAAGCAGTTTCTGCTTTACTAATAACAGTCGTCATGTTGCTCATATCGAGGACTACGTTTTGATAATCAACAAAAAATTCACACTTAACTTTTCAGTTATACCTATCCATTTCTCAAAATGTTGGGATGCTCAACTGCATATATATTTCAGGATTGCTTTACCAAGTAATGATACAGTAAATATTTGTCTGATAGTCAGTACTACAGTGTTGACATGAATTATCATTGATACGGTCATAATTATAAATTAACTATTTTTTTGTCTTATTAGGCTGCTGTTTCAAGGTACACCCCTTATTACCATTTGTTTATATTATCTATAAATAGCGGTGGATTAATGAATTGATACTTGACTACATGCTTTTTGTTTTTCTGTGTTATTGGGTTGCTGTCTCATTGATGAAAAATCAACAGCTCTTTTCATTCATGACGTATTTGAAAAAATAATGTTGAATATTTATCATGAAATAAATAAATGCAGTCTGAAGTATCATATCGTATAATGATTTTTAATATGAAAGTTTCCTAACTAGTTTATCCTGATATTATATCTCATATTCATATGATAAAAGCGATTGATAAAGTGATCAAAAGATGGAACAAAACATATCCTTCAAGGAGATTAGTATACAAGTATAGGAGATAACAATATTTTATATTATGAAGCCGGTAAACAGATATTTGCGACTAGCAAATCAAAAAATTGATGTCCACAAATCTCTTTTCTAACCCAACTGCAAGAAAGCATCACTTTAACATATAATCAAATCAAACACATGAAGTTTACGCTTGTGTGCACAAATTAAGACCATCAATCGTAGAATTGATGTTCTGAAATTTGTAGCGTTATCCAATCTAAATGAACGAAGCAAAGAATGTTGCATTATAATAAAGGTTGATCAGCGTTCTTTACATATTAATATTCCATTATATTATTAAGCAGTTTCATTACAATTTTTAAGGGGATAATTATTCTATTCTATAACAACATTTTTTTTCACTGTTTCAGATTTCCCTATAGCCAGCAAGTTCTTATTGATGAATTTGTTTTTTTAAAATACATTCAAATAATATTGCAAATTTGAATTAGTTGAGAATATAAGTAATATTATAAAGAAACAACACAATCTTTATAATCAGTGTAATTATATCAACAGAACTGTATTTTACAGAGGGAAAGCCAACCACAGTATAACATGATATATCCAAGTGAAACTATGCCCATGCCAGGACCAAGTTTTCATCCTGAAGGTCACCAGGGTCCGCCATATCGACCATATCTAGCCCCTGGACTAGGATCAGGATACCCTTATAATAATCCACATCAGCCACCACAATATGTAGGACACCAATCACAACTTGATTTACAGGAATCAACTTCTATTCCATATTTACAGAGACCACTGTCTAATCCAGACATGGAAAGACTACCAGGTAAACATGAGATGAATTTCACCCTTATAGAAGCGAGTCAACAGAGCATCAAGATGATAAAAGTTTCTAACATACCTGCTGGATCCTCAGAAGATTCCATCAGATTTTTCTTTGAAAACAAGGGAAAGTCTGGAGGTGGTGACATTGAGGATCTGGATTATGATATAGACAGTCATTCTGCTATCATTACATACGAGGAGGAGGACGGTTAGTAACTCCGTGTTTAAACATTATAAAAAAGGACAACTTACATGTTTAAAAAAGAATTATATGTTAGGTCATGTCATTTAGGATGTTCACTGGAAAAATCAAAATACTATTTCATTGAATGGACATACGAATAAGAAGAAATGGTTTGATTGCCAATGAGTCCATATGACGTGGATGTGAGTAACTATAGGTCACCATAGGGCTGTCATCAATATGAAAACCCAACCAATTATTATTAAGTAAGCAATAAAAAGGCCCCGGCATGACAAAATATAAACAAATTTAACGAAAAAAACGCTTGATGACAAAAGAATAAACGAAAAAAAAATATGACACGCAGAAACCACCAAAAATCACTAAATTGCAGGATCCGGATTAGGGGCAGTCGCAAAACAAAATGCAGCGGGGCTAAACATATTTATGAATGCCCAACCTCACACTTATCCGAGACAGAGATGTTACAGCACAACATACGAACAACTGTTAAATCGGTAAGAAATGGCTTGACACATTAAACTGGCACACAGCACAAAAACAACAAACCTTAAGACAAAAGTCACAAAGTCTCGATCTCAGAGTACTCGCAGTTAATGACTCAATATAAATTAATCATTAAATCATGTTCTCCCTGACTTAAGTATCCATCAGTGCACATCCAACGGATTTAGTGTAAGAAATCATAAACAGTCTGAGAAAAACATGTTATTATGCAATGCCAAAGTAAGGTAAATAGTGGTGACCTTGACAGTCATTATTACGTTTAAATAAGAGGAGGGATAGAACATTTTTAAAACATAAAAAAAATAGTTTTACTTAAAATACTTCTTGGTACAATAGATAAAGATACATTTGAATGACATTTATTGATTGCGTGTCCAGTTCTGGGATGTATCTTTACTTATTCATTCCATATGTCCAAGGATTTGAATAATAACGTAGTACTCAAAAATGTTTGCCACACAAACTTAACACAATTTAAAATTGTAGTTCGATCCTTGAGTATATTTTCATTAGTACTAATATGTGTTTGTTTAAAGTTCCTCAAAAATTTCGGCAGCATATTGTGTCCTCGCTCTGTCTGTTTATCCAACACTAATACTTTTCTAATGAAATGTTTACATTGCTCAATCGAAACGACTCAAACCAATGGAGGATAAAAAGGAAAGTAATGAAGCCTATTTAATTTGGAGTCAATAGGTCAAAGTTCAAGGTCGATGTTATTGAATATAGAAATATGATTAAATAAAATGTTTTCCGGATGAAATCTCAAGTTTTCGATGCTTATTTTAAACGAAAATAATAGAAGATCTAGTGAAGGAGAGGAAGCTTATGTATTTTAAAGTTTCTAAGTCAAGTTCAAGGTCTCTGATATTGAAAATATTTTTTTTTGGTTACACGAACTACAAAACCGGCTTTTTGTACAGCGATGTCGGGTTGACTCGTAAAACAGGTACCTTCTGTGTAATCAACTACTATAGTTTTCAACCAACATACTTGAAACTTGAAATATCACAGACAGATGTAAAATATGTTGATGTTGTGCACATGTCATTTAACAAATGTTTGAAGAATGTTTGCTATTTTTCCAAATTTGGGAACCTAGTCATTATGCAGTAAAATTTACAAAAGACTGCACCAATTTTGTGTAATCAACTCCTACAAATTTTAAAACAGATCCCTGAAACTTCACGGAAAGATTACAAATATTTTGAAGTTGTAAACCTGCTATTTTGGAATTGTTGATTGGTTTTTTTTTCAGAATTGGGAACTTAGTAATTTTTTTGGCAAAATGTACAAAAGAAGAAAACAATGTTGTAGGATCGATCAACTCTTTCTGTAGTTTTGAACACAGATCCTTGATATCGCAGGGGATGTTTGCATAGCTATTAAAGTTATGCAACTACCATTATGGATTTGTCTAAAGACCCCCTCCTATTTTTTTTTATATTTTTTTATTTCTCCCTCCTTTTTTAACAATATTGATTTCAACATATTTAAATGTTTATTATAGACCATTCTCCATTGCTCTAGAAAATATTCGTTGCAACCCAGTCATTTGTTTCTATGATCCATTAATAATTGTTTCCTGAAGATTTAATACTTGACTTTTATGTCATGGTTTAATCTGAAACTCATAATAATTGAAGATTTGTCCAAGAGAAGAACGAATCGATTTCAAGGTCAAAGGTCACGGTTAATGCTGCTAAAATAGACTTATATTAGCCCAGTGCTTTTCAGAGCTATTGACAGAGCCGTTCAAATCTGGCGGGTGCACAAGGGCCAGGGGAACCCCTCTCGGTTTTTTTCGAGGATGTTCCTAAAGTATTTCTGTATAACACGGCCCTTAAGCAAGCACGTTTTATACAGGGCAGCTACAAATAGATTAAAATTTCACTGAACTGATCTTGGTGTGTCTACATGAAAAAAAGTATTAACAAAAAAACCGAACTCCGAGGCAAATTAAAAAAAAGTCCATAAAACCTGACAAAATCAAACGCTCGATTATATCAACTGAAGGAACAAATGGAAAACAACTGTTATATTCCTGACATGGCACATGATTTTTTCCGAAGAAAATATTTATGAATATAAGGCTCTGGTGAAAGTATAGTAAACTAGTTTAATACACAAATAAACATGTTTCAGTCTTACTGTAATTGACACTTACGGTCCTACATCCTGTCAAATCTTCGAGTTACAGTCAACAACCAGCTAAGTTGTCAATTCAATATTTTCAATTACATCTCTTAAAATTCATGTTCACTGATTTGAATCAAATTTCCATATTTGATTTATAGCATACTAAAACGTATATCCAAATTACAATATGTCTGAAATAAGCAATTAACAATGCATAGACTAGATAATATATATCAGCATTTCATGTGTATGGTAGCCTAGACGCCATCCAATTTACAATCGAGATGACCTCCGAAGACTGCAGACGGTCACATAACCCAATATAAACATAAACATAAATATAAATAGATAGCGACCTCGTGCAATTGGACTTTTCTAGGTCTGTCTGATTTTATGTTATAGATTCAAAAAATAAATTAATAATCGTATTTACCTGTATAAGAATGATTTTTTGTGGATCGAATCAGTCAACGAAATGCTTCATCTTTGTTTCACTTTCAATGTTGACATTCTGTTCCTTTTAATGGCTGAACACGACTAATACATGCATAATCAAGCTAATGGGTTAAATTGAAGGTCACATGAATACGGATTCAATGAGGTCGAATTATTCACTTGCAAGTGAATAATTCACCAGCAATGTTTCGTAGCTTATTTTGACAAAATTGAACTAAACTGGCTGTAAAAAGCGAATTATTATTTCGCTATTTCACTTTCATTAATTATTGAAAAAAAAAATCATATTTTAACTTATTTATATCTTGCTAATGCCCCCTTTACACAATTATGATTTCCTGCCGTCACACTTTGCATTGCATTAATTGATAATATTTTCTCGTCCTCCATATATGCTTGAAATAATTTATACTGAACGTAAAGCAAGCAACAATCAATAAATATTTGTTAGATATCGACAACACTTTACACAAAGACCAACAATTGAAAAAATATTTCCTTGTATACTAATTGACTGTTATGAAATATTTATGATTTATAGTTGCTGAACGTGTTTTAAGTCGAATGCCATTGCTGTTTGAGAAGAAAAGGATTGATGTTGAAATATTTATACCACGTTCGCCCACACCAGACGTAGAGGGAGATAGACAAGCCTCAGGGAACGAAGACACAGGAGACATGCCTACTGAGTTTGTTATAGAAGTAACGGGAATGAAGCCAACCACATCTGGAGATACCATAAGATTTTATTTTGAAAGCCGCAAAGTTGCAAATGCTGACGTTGTAAAGATGGAATTCATCGAAGAGAAAGAAATGTACCTGATCTGGTTTGAGGAGGAAAGTGGTATGTAATTTATTGATGTTATGATATAAAAAAAAAAATTCTCTGAACAGCAAATAATTTGAACCGTACATGCTTCAATAATGTGAATTAAGACATCAATAATATCGAAAGCTCGCTTTGACGAAAATAATACTTTTCTGAATAACTGATCGAATTAAATCTATGCTTGGCCCGAATGAACCTGAGTAGTATGTAGTATAAAGTTTGCGTTTTTATGTTTTTATTTCCCTTACTTATCAAAATTGTCACCATGGCAGTAGCTTGAGCATAATGGTAAGATGCTAGTAATTGTCAAATGTCTTAAAAAATAATGATAGACAGAGAACATCTGACGGAACCGGAACAGAAATGGTCCAGAGATTTTAACTATTCACAGTTTTTCTAGCTAATCAGATGACTGACACCTTTGGAATATGCGCCCTCAATTCCTAATTTGTCGTTTATAACTATACGTGTTAGAATCAGTAAACGTGATTAGCAATACCATATATACACAACTGGCTAACATTTCACATCGTCATTTACCTGCTAAAGGAGTTTAAGCCTTTCAAAGAAAATCTTTGAATTATTTGAGCGTTTCTCCCTATTGTCTTCTAAACTCTCATTATTCGTCAGTAAACAGCAATAATGATCACCAATAAAAGATAAATTTAAAGTTTTGTCTATAAATTTGAAGAGATCACGAGTAAACATTTTGGTCATCTACCAGCTAAATATGGATAATTCATTTGACCAAAACTGTCTGTTAAATGTTTATTGGATCTATTTTTTCTGTACTGACTATATCGTCTATTATTTGCATTTTACTTATTTTAAACAACGTGTTGCCGACATCTTTAGTCGACGACTTATATGCTTCCGTGTCCTATAATGACGACTCTTAGACGTTTTTTTGCGCTTTCGGTAAAAACTATCATAAAAAAGCAAAGAATCTGTAAAACAAGAAAAATGATATCTCATATATTTATAAGATATCTGATATAGTTTATAAGATATCTTATATAGTTTATAAGATATTTCATATAATCTTTAAGATATATTATATAATTTTCTTTAAAAGATATCTTATAAATTATATGAGATATCTTATAAACTTTATACTATATGAGTATCTTATAACTAAATAAGATATCATATAAAATATATGAAATATCTTATAAAGTATATAAGATATCTTATATAAAAGATATTTATAAGATATCTTAAATACTTTTTATGAAATATCTTATAAATTGTATGAGATATCTTATAAACTACATAAGATATCTTATAAACTATATAAGGTATCTTATAGACTATATCAAATATCTTATTAAGTTCAAAAGATATCTTATATACATATACGATATCTTATATACTTTGAACGATATCTTATATACTTTAGAAAATATCTTATTAAGTTTATAAGATATATTATAAAGTTTATAAGATATCTTTTAAAATATATAAGATCTCACTATATGATAAAAGCCATAAAAATATCTAAAAATATGGCAACATGGCCGAAATCGACACTCGCCAACTTCTTATAAGAGTTAATTGGATATCAACATCAATGTTCAATATTCGCGTTACCGGAAAATATCTACGTAGGCCGCTATCATGGATTGTAATATAGAAAATTCTTTCGAAAATCCTCGGTTGTTTAGGTAATGTTTATGTTTTTCGTGTTTTACATAGACTTTAAAAGTACAATTTCATGCAGCCAAATGGATAAAAAGTGGATTGAAGCTGTACAAAATTTTGTACAATCAACCATAGGTCAGTCCAGAATTTAGAATGCATTTTACTAAATTTTCAGCTTATCGGAAACATTTTCACATGTGTTGGGGGGTGTTTGCCGTGAGGTTAGCGTTATAGTGATTTGTAATGGAACGGAAAGGTTCCAATTGCGGATCAGAGTATTTTCTATGAGCTTTAAAGATAATGTATGATAAGGCCTCTATTTCGGCCCCTTGAATCCAAAATCAAAAAGTAGCATAAATACTAAATAACATCCTTCGGGTGATGATAAAATATTAGTTTGAAACATATTAGTAATCATATATTTTGAATTTTGACTCACATATTCGCATTAGGGCTTCAAAATGCTTGAATTAAGTGCAACGCTGCAAAATTAATGCAACGGTAGTTTATTTATGTTCAAATCTCGTAAATTGAATAAGAAGAGACAAATCATAGTAACAAATAAAAACTGAACTTTATAAGGAGCGAGATCGGTTGCGTCACCAGGGTAAGCATCTCGTGCTATAATAGAAAAACAAAGAATATGGGGTATCCACAAAATCAGTACACGCAAAAAGCAAAGGAACAGCAATTTTTTTTTGCTGTTTTTTATCTCAAAGTCACAATGAGGCATATGCATACATGCCCCGACATACGATTCCACACTCAGTCAAAATGTCACATTAGGGAATATGAGACATAAGGTAAAATTACAAATCAGACGACTATCCACAATCTATAAAAGGTCGAATTTGCCTCATTTTCAGATCTTGTCATTTCTATTTAAATGTGATGCTTTACCCAAAAAAATATTTTGCACATGTCTATGTGTTTAAAATACCATTTTTTGGTAAAACCTTTGCTCATATCTATTTTGTCCAATAAATATGTATAGAATTGTCTTTTTTGGTCGAATACGTCAATTTCGACATGTTTATGCCATCATTATGACATCATTAGAGGCCTTTTTACAATAAAGTGTCCACATCAATATCATTTTTATTGTGTGTACCAATGGCAATATTCTGCATTTATTTGCCATAAAATATTAAAAAAATGCACAAAAATGTCACATGTTCACCCCCACCCCCATAGAATTAAACCAAATTGGTTCAAAGTAGAATTTATTTGAATTATAGTTTTTCTGAAACCATTGAGATTTATCGATCAAACGACCAAATAAAAATTTAATGACCCATTTCATCTCAAAGTTAGTGCGATAACAAAAATGGACTTACATTTCATAATTGTGGACCTTTGGTTGTTTGTATATGCAAAAACGGTCTGTCAAACAGAAAACAGTTCACACAACATATGCTAAACAATCATGATGTTCATTTTAGCCCTTTTTGAAGGCTAAATTATTCTTTAGCTATTTTAAAAGGATTTTTATTGCACAATAACTTGCACATTTTCTAAATTCACCGGGACGAAAATGTGAAACCATACACAAAAATGTAGAGGTTTAACAAAGCAGCAACAGCAGCCTCAACTGGAATTGGAACCTATTCGTTTCAAAGCTAACCATTAGAACTCAGACCTCACAGAAAGAACCCCCATACTTGATAATTTGTATAAACCCGAAAACCTCTAACGATTTTTGTTCTGATATAAGAAAGCTTAATAATATTTATTGTCAATTAAACAATATTGTCGATATAAAGCAAGTAATTTAAATTCTCACTTAGCTTGTTTCATGATTCTTTTTTTATAGCAGAACCTTGCAGTCCTTAATGTTTATATTAATGTGAATTTAATCAACTTGTCTTTTTTGTTGTCCGTTATACACTTTAAACAGGATCATACTCCTTGAAACTTTGCCTGCTTTCAAAGTTAATATCGATTTGAAGTTATTACTTTTTGATGAACAATCTATTAATATTGAATACAATATTGAGATGGGTATGGCTGATTTAGCACATACTAGAATCTCGGAAAGATTAATTTAGAAAAAGAATATTTTCATAGTCCAACATTTCAATTTTGTTTGGTTGTATGTCTGTACTTTATTGCATTTTAAATTTATAAGACCCAAACTTGCGGAAAATATACGAAATTGAACAAAAATGTATCAAGAAAGAATTTACATAATGAAAATATTTGATACTTCAAATATTATAAAAACTAGTGATATGCACCACTATTTCCTATATCATTCGAACCACTTTGTTGCTTTTTCATTCTAAATTCTTTTTCTTACTACTTACCGTTTATCTGTCTTTGATGTACCAACATGGAAACTCTCTTATCGTTTATATTCTTCTGTCGCTATAACCTAATAAAAGTAAGAACTTGATTAAATATAATTACGGCCACAATAGTTTACCGATATTCAAATCTCGTTCATCGATTAAGCACTACTAATTCACCGTGTAGAACGCTACATGCGGGTTGGCGGCTTCGTAGTAATCGAAGTAAGTAAACGTATGAATTTTTCATTTTGGAGAATTGTTAGCACCAAACAATGTATTTCACGAAAAGTAACGACCCATATTCTATTTCCAACAAAAAGAAGCAGACATCAACAGTGCTATGTTTTCTATGTTACAGATTTTGAGACTTCAAATGCGAGTTTCACGACAAAAACTACTTTTCTGAGACCTATGTGGAAAGATTTTATATAGAAATGAATTCATGTCATATGATTATACCAAATACCAGCATCCCAGTCAGAATGTCTTGGGTTTAATGATAGTTTATCATCGAAATATATTGTGAAGCATGGAGTGGCAGATTAAGCATCTTAAGGGGGTGAGGCATTCATTAAGACATGTGAGCTATTTCCATTACTTGGCGTCCACTGGCGTCGACGTGGCACGAAAACGTCTCACATGTTTAGATATCTGTCAAAAACCTCTCTACAAGTTAAAAAAAAAAATGGTATGAATTATGTATGAAAAGTCGCATCCGACTCAACCAAAAAAATAATAAAAAAATGCCGATGCAAACCTTTGATTCTGATTGGCTAATTTTGAAAAATCTTTTCTACTTAAACAACTATATGAATTGTTTTGAAATTTAATGAGATTGATGATTTTAAAACTTAAAGGGATTGATGATTTTGAGACTAACCTTCAACAGTCGTCATTTAATGTTGATTTGGCGCCATTGATGACATATACTTCCCATTGAAACCCTACGGAAAATCACAGTTTCATTTTTTGTTCGAGTGGCAAAAATGGATAATATTTACTAATGGTGATCCTTATTCAATGTTACAACCTCCGGTCTTTTTTATTTTCCCTATACCCCTATTTATATAATCATGATATTATGCAATGGAAAGAAATTAAAAAAAAACAACCCTACTTCTAGGATATCCACGTGCTTCAAAAATCGTATTTTTTATATAAATTCTACAGCAGCCTATCAAAAAGTAAAATCACCAAAAAACTGAACTCCGAGGAAAATTCAAAAAGGAAAGTTCCTAATCAAATGGCAAAATCAAAAGCTCAAACACATTAAACGAATGGATAACAACTGTCATATTCCTGACTTGGTACAGGCATTTTCTTATGTAGAAAATGGTGGATTGAACCTAGTTTTATAGCTAGCTAAACCTCTCACTTGTATGACAGTCGCATCAAATTCCATTATATTGACAACGATGCGTGAACAAAACAAACAGACACAATAGGTAAAAAGGTCAAAAATAGGGGAACAGCAGTCAACATTGTGTTATCATCTTAATCACTATAAAACAAACAAATGTAACAAAGAAGCACAAAAAGGCATACATCAAATTTAACATCCTCATTTTGCTTTTTTATTATACGATTTTATTTATCTTTGTAAAATCCACCCATAAAGGAAGGAAGGTTTAAAGTACTGGCGTAGAATCGCGCGTTTGACGTCACACAGGTAGATATAAAATAATTTTTTCGTTCAAAGTATGACGAGATATTATCCTACTACATTTAGCACTGTGTACAGTTGTGTCAAAGTAGGCAATGCCTCTGCAGCCAGATTGTTAAACAAATACGACGTGGATATCCACAAATTTTCCAGTTCAATGCCAGAAAATGACTTACCTGTTTCAGATTAACTTCACACAATACAGTTAGGTCAACAGTGAGCGGGAGAGCTTTTTCGCTCTCCTTTTCCTGTAACATTAATTACCTGAAAACCCCAAAACCTTATTCATGTAGTAACTTGAACCCAGCCTATGTGTGGTATTCAATATGTGGGACAGACGGGACGAGAATATTACAGAAGAAATCAAGAGCACCTTTACCGCTTTCGAAGACCTAAAAAATTCAAAAGTTTGATATACCAACATTTAGATAAGCTTAATCACAATCTAAAATTTATAAAATTCCTACCACTTGAAACCGTTTAGAAAACCCAGGACAATCACACAAGCAATTTGAAAAATCCTGCGAAGTTCGCGGACTATTTTGGATAAAAATACTTCAAACAGCTTATCCTCTCGGTCTCAATGACAAAATATTGGGACAGGGGAACATTATATAAATATCACATAGCTGAGAGGGTGATAGAAATGAAAAATGAAGCATCTTGGGGATAAATCAGCTAAACGTTTTTATAAGCAGTAAATTCCCTCCCAAAGTCCAACTGAAAATATGAGTTCGGCGTTATGACGTCGATGTAAGGCGTCAAAGAAAAAAATATAATAGCCTTTCAAGATGTCATAATTATTTGGACTATCATGACTTGTGATCTAAAACATAATTGTTGACTTAGCACTCAGAAACTGCTATGAAGTACTTTTAATATGCATAGTTATTTATTTTGATTAAATAGAAGAAGGAAAATATGAAATCGAATCTTTCTCGTTCTTATTTATTCGCAAGTTCATGATTATAAACCATTTAAATCCATTGGTTTATGCTTTTTTATAATTTGAGTCCATTCAGTAGAACTTGCATGAAATCAATGAGACAAAATTTATTGTTATATTTAGTTTAATCATACAAGGATTGCAAACCAATTTCCTTTTATTTCAAATTATGAAGAATTTACATTGAGAATACTTTGATTATTATCTCTTTTAAATGTATATCCTATAGGAAAAAGGTAGGATCAGGTATCAGTTTTGAAAAGGAATTCCTGTTTGTGATAATTTTAACCCTGTCTATGTCAAGTATTCAAGCATATTTTGGCTACCCCTTGTCTTTATGTAGTAGAAATTTATTTCTGTGTTTATATAATTTGGTTAAAGCAGTAAAACTATTTACCAAAATATAAATATTAAAGTTACGCTTGGAATAATATATTATGGCACAGAGTAACATTTACTGTACTGTAATATTAAAGCCCTATTTCAGTTCTGAAATTGTTGTAAAAATGATAAAATGTGTTTACCTAATTGTTTTACATATGTCTCTAAAATCAAAATATATTTAGTAAAAAGATAATAAATTATTTTAATAGCATCCACTTAAAAATAACAGCATATGGTGCTTGATAGTACCTATAAGTTTAATCATGAAAAATGTCAACAAAGGGACGTAACTCGTAAATTACTATCGGCACCGCTTCGTCAGAAATATCGACACATCGAAGTGGCACATTTGCGTATTACAGCGTATTAAGTGGCACAAATTTGACACGGGCCAGTTTATAAAAAGCCTAATCACATATTTCAAATTCAGCATAGGTTCCCCAGAAGTTAAGAAAGAAATTTCAACTGATGTGTTGAAAAAACTTAACGCGACGAGTGACGACCTTTGGTATGAAGGCTTCATATTCTAATTCAGTACGCTTAATCAAAACAATTTTTATGTGAGAACTTCTAAAAAGTATACACAACTGGCATTTGTAACGAACAGAATGCTTTGGTTTCATTTGATATGACTTTTTGGAGGGAACAGAGTCGTTTCAGTTGAAGAAAAAATGCCCCAAAAATGCCCAAATATGGTAGTCACATGACTTCCATTGTTGCTTTAATAAATGGGGTCAAAACGGGGTCAGCTTTCCGACTGTTTAATTTTCATTTAAATGTTTTGTAATTGATGCTGCTCATTCTTTTTACCTATGTCAACTTTGCACCTTTTCATATAACAAACCGTATGACTAATAAGTCATAATGAAATACAAACTATCTTCAATTGTACATTTTAGCCATTGAAGCAGTAATGAGTAAAACCCATCGAGTTGATGGACAGACACTGAATGTAGAACGTTATGTCCAACCATCTCCAGCAAAATATGTTCCTACGTATGAAGATAAAGTGTTCATAACAAATATCAGTCTTACAACCACTAAAGAAGGACTTGAAAATTTTCTTGAATTCAAATCTAAATGTATTCCAGAAGAGATTATATTTGGGGAGGCAGAAGGCACAGCATTAGTTACATTTGAACAACCACCAGGTACAAATGAATTAAAGCAATATTATTCCATAGTATGAAAATTTGAGTCTGATTTTACAACACAAAATGGGATTGCAATCTTTATAATGGTGAAAATTTACACTAACTGTAAAAGTTATTCAATGCTATTCAATTCTTTCTTTGATTTTTGATGCTTAAATTTCATTTGGGTAAAGGATAATTATATATGCAAACACAGAGCCGCAAAACAAATAGTGGTTTGATAAAATGCATTTTAAGAAACAGATTAGGAATTACAGCAGTATAAATATTAAAAGTTCAGATTTTAGATGATAGTTTACAAGGTAAAATTCAGCAGAAAGACCTATAACCATAATAAGCCCAAGGCACAATATTGAGCTGATAAGCCTTTGCTTATACACCTAAATATTAAGTGGTCTTGACTTAGAAAGCCCAAATACCAATTTCAAAGCCATGTCATGGACACAGCCAAGCATTTAACCCACAGCCTTCATATATCAGGCGAGCACAGTCAACACCACCCAGGCAATCTCATTTAAAAACTAAACATAAAAAATTAACACAGATTTTAGTTTATAATTGGTAGTTATTCTAAGTCGATCGAAACAGAAATTTTCACGCATCTTTTTTCAGACAGCATTTATGAAGCGATCTTTTGTATTCAAACTGCTTTTGAAAACAGATAACACGTATGAAAGACATATGGTAATTATCCTGCTTTTAAAACTATATTATAGATATGGAGAAGTTACAGACAGCATGTATGAAGAGACAACTGGATGGCAGTCATCTTAACATAGACCCTGTTCCGATAACAGACTGTATAGTTGTCACTGGATACAAAGACAATACATTGTCAGACACAATGGAATACTACTTTAACACTAAAAGGCGATCAGGGGTCGAAGGTGTAAGAGAAGTGAAGTTAGTTCAGGATGAAGGGAAATTTCTGGTGTACTTCACTGATCCTGATAGTAAGTGTGTTGTTAAACAGCTATAAATATACCTTTTGGTAGTATCAGATTTGGAATTACAATGACCACTTATGTAAATATCTTCAATAATGTAGGTATTCATCATAGCTTAATTATACAGTTCTTTGTGTTGGTCAAAAATTTCCCTGGGTATGATGTTTACGCACGTTTTATTATTTGCATTGGGCGGCTATATTCGATTTTTTTGCAAAACGTTAGCCTTGGCAATGAAATAATGACAACAAATCTATGTTGCATGAATTATATCGATTTTAATAGGACAAATACGGGTAATGAAAATAAAATGGAGGGAAGTTGAGTGTTACGTGAGTGTTCTATCCCTCCTGAAAGATAAAGCTACAAATTTCCAACAAACCTATTGCTTTAATGGTTAAATGGTTTTGTTAATGAACTGTAGTAAAATGTAGGAAATCCTTATAATTCTTAACCAATGATATTTTCAATTTATAACTTATTTATTGACTAATATTTACCGTCTAATCTAGCTTGTCGTTACTAAGGTGTAAGCCGCCATATTGACTTGTTGTTGGTTTTTGTTCTAGGTGCACTCCAGGTATGTAACAGAGAACACAAAGTTGAAGGTCAAGTTCTAAAAGTACAGGTGTACTATGAATGTCTAAGACTAGTGAAGATGGACCAAAATTAAAATAAGCAAAAATGAAACACTGTATTTTACTAAAACATATACGTCTGGCTGTAAAAGTAAAATATATATCTACACAACACAGTTTTCATTTTTACAAAACCAAGCAGTACATTATGCTTTGGTTTGACCGATTTGAATTGAAGTAAAACAAAAATATACTTTAATGAACTGAAGCATGCATGCAGTTGATATTTGATTTAAATTAATACAAATCAGAGTTACTGTTATTAATGATAACATGTATTAGCTTGACATTAAATCAAAGTTACTGGTATTAATAATTACATGTATTTGCTTGACATTATAAAAGGGAGACGATTTGCATTTTTGGTTCAATTAAATAGAGTAATATCCCATTGTACACTGTATTAACATTTTGAACATAATTGAATATGTAGGTTACTCTTCATCACAATAATTTTGTTTTTATCTATTGCTGGTATTTTCCTTGTTTACATTATGATCTCAAATTTCTTTCATTTCTCTTATTATATTTTATGTTTCTTTTCCAAATTGACCATGTTGGCACAGTATTACTTATTGTTCAACAATTTTGATGCATTTAGATTACAGCTTAAGATTAATGCAGACAAGGCAGAGGAAGTCAGATATTTCAGGTTTAATTTGACATTTAACACTATTAGTACAGCAACTGACCTCGAAAAAGACGCTTAATAAACGAGTTTGATGTAACGGAATAACACGCTGCTGGAAATTGTTTTAAATGATAGAATAATATCTATATTCTAATTTTCGTCTGGTCGTAAAAAGTTTCTTTGGTCACATTTTTGTATTTTAGCCCGTTTATGGGGTACCCCTCAATTTATAGTTTTGGGTAGTCACCTTAAAATAAAAAAAAAAAAATGTTTTGTTCAATTTCAGGCTCTGTTCGTACATAGTTTCGAGGCAAATATGATCAAGGATCATCGGAATGATGAAGACATAAATATAATACCATCCCCGAATAACTCTTTAAAACTTAAACTTAGCAGTTTTTTTAGAAAGAAATTTTTTGCATTTTTCTTTGAAAACGAGAAAACATATAATTCAAAAACAGTATTTTACATTTAAGAGGAAAACATATATTATTGTGATACTGTATGCACATTTTGATGGGCAAATTCCAAATAGTTTTGTTAAAAACTCAGAAATAAAAACATCACTTGTACCTATTTTTGATTACGGAAATTTCCTATCCGTCAATCAGCTCCATAATTTATAGTTACCATCTATCAAGTTCAGTTATAGGTGGCACGGTAGTATTTCCTGGCCCATAAGGGATAATGATAGCCTTTTTAGAATTTTCACCACTTTCTAACACTGCTAAAAATTCTACATTCACAGTTAACTGAAGTACTTTCATTTTACTATTCAGAAATGAATTTGAATATGTATCATGACCGTTTACTTTTTTTGCTATCTTTAAGAACCTAAGGCCACTAGTGCTTTTAGGTCTTTTATCGTGCAGTGAATACAAAATTTAAAAAAATTCTCAAAAATTCATTTTCATCTGTATGTAAAATTATTTCATATTTTTCTACACCTGATTCATCCCTCAGTTTGGGAAAGTATGTTCAGTTGATACTGTATTTTTTGTCCAATCATAATGTTCAGATACATTGACTTAAGTAGGGTACACAGAAGAGCAACCGAAATTCTGGAATGCAAATACTACCGTGCTACCTTAACCAAGACATTTCAAACTTGAAATCAGTCATGACACCTATGATGCATAGCCTTCTTACTATGTAACATATTACAATAAAGAATACTAGTCTGCACTTATTTCTTACCAAAAAAAAAATGAAAGATTACACCCCTACCCCAGCTGGCAGATTTTCATTTTTTTATCATCTTACCATTTTTACTTAAGGAGTGAACAAAATCAAAATATATGATGTTTCAAATCAACACAGAAGTCAAACATGGTGATTCAGGAGGAATTATTGGATTGCCAACTCTATTTATAGTTAATCTGACTGAAAGAAACAGTTTAAGCACCAAATCATGAAAAATTATATTAAAGTCCATTCCACATTTTACAGCATGCCTTACATTACTTTAAGCATTTCCAGATTATGAAGGCAACACAACAAGATTCTTTAGATGGCATTTAACTATCATTCTAAAATCTTTTTGACAATATATGTACTAGAATATATCTCTAAGTTGACTGTTTGTCTATTTCTCATGTATGCATTAAGTTAAATTATGTCCCCTTACATAATCATTTTACCTTTATTGTGCTTTTCATTGTCAGAAAATCAAAACAATTAATGACATTTGCATGGAAAATGAATAAACTATTTAATCTTGCTGATAAACAGTCATAATTACATTCTTTGTCAAAAAAAATGTCTTGTCAGTGTAAAGAAACCCCTATTGCTATCTCTATTTCAGTCAAATATGAGGGCTAAATGAATAAGTAAGGACCCCTTAACCACTTGCTGGTTCCAAAAAAGCTCATACTGGTGTCATGTTACCACAGAACTACAAATTAAACCTAAAGAAAACTAGTAAAGATGTACTTGTGTGGTAAAAAATAAGAAATTATGCAATTTATTTATTTCGGTGAAAATAATAGGATGTACACACAAATAAAATATGTCGCGTCTCAAATTCCAGTGGTTGCACATGTGTCAGACACTGCGAAAAGTTAAAGCGAGCATTTATAATTAAAAATGTATTGCAAGTTACATAAAAATAATGAAGTTCTACTTTCTAGGTAAATTTTTACTTTATTACCCACAGATCAGGCAAAATTTGCTGAATCAGCAATTTTCACTCCCAGGGGTGGAATTTAAGGGCTGTTTTTATCATAATTGCCCTTAATCAACTTTTTATTGATAAACTTACAAATTGCATAGGTAAAAAAAAATCCTTCATTGATTTAGTGTAAACATGTATATCCCCTTAAGGTGGCACGGTAGTATTTCCTGGCCCATAAGGGATAATGATAGCCTTTTTAGAATTTTCACCACTTTCTAACACTGCTAAAAATTCTACATTCACAGTTAACTGAAGTACTTTCATTTTACTATTCAGAAATGAATTTGAATATGTATCATGACCGTTTACTTTTTTTGCTATCTTTAAGAACCTAAGGCCACTAGTGCTTTTAGGTCTTTTATCGTGCAGTGAATACAAAATTTAAAAAAATTCTCAAAAATTCATTTTCATCTGTATGTAAAATTATTTCATATTTTTCTACACCTGATTCATCCCTCAGTTTGGGAAAGTATGTTCAGTTGATACTGTATTTTTTGTCCAATCATAATGTTCAGATACATTGACTTAAGTAGGGTACACAAAAGAGCAACCGAAATTCTGGAATGCAAATACTACCGTGCTACCTATAAGGTCGTTTTGCTCTGCAATGAGTTGGATAGTTTCGATGTGATGTTGTACATTTTCTTTGATTAATTAGATATTTTTTAAGGTTTTTAAGTGTGATTTGATCATATAGTGTTGTTCTTTTGTATATTTTCTGTATTAAAATAAGTAATATTGCTGTTGATTAAATTTTGACGTCTTATAATAGTTAAGATTTTTTTCCGGATAATGGCCAGTTATGATAGTCCTGTAAAGTTTACTCCTGCTAGTCCCAAAAGGAGAATTAATGAGATTGTTTGGGAAAATGCATTGTGTGTCAATGTTCGTCACCAGAGCAATTAATATGCATGCGAGAGGTCGGGAAAAAAGTATTATTGCAGCTATGGATGTTCGCAGAGATTTGGTGTGCGACAAGGTGATAGAAAAACTAACTTCTCTTGATAATCTGCTTTCCTTGGATGTAACAGTTGTGTATCATTGGTCATGTTACAAGAAATATATCAGTAGGCGAAATTGTAGCGTCTTTAAATTAGAAGCAGAAAGCCAAATATGTGACCAATCTGATCCACATGTATCCTCACAACCTGATACTTTCATACAAACTCGCGCTCAGTTTTCTTCTGTTAGTTTGGATTTTATAACATGTTTTTTGTGTAAAAACAAAATTAAAAAGGACAGAAAACTACACAAAATCGAGTCGCGTGAACGTGTTGACAGTCTTTTGAGGTGTTCTAATGTCAGTAATGATTTATCCATGGTAAAGGTAATCGCGAGTACAGATTTTTTTCAAATGCAGTATACCATTCAGCATGCATTACCAAGTAATTATGGAAGTCATTAACTGTGCACCTGTGCAATCAGGCAATACAGTAACTGAAGAATCAGAGCATGAAATTGGTTTTAAGTCATTATTAACGATTGTTAATGATTATCTGTTCTTCCAGAAAAAGGCCTTTCTTATGTCGCACATCCTCGACATATACCGATCACCTTTCCCCAAGAATGTCTCCGATGCTTTCCCATGGAAAAGATGCCCGCATCGCTTTTATAGTTCATCTGTTGGTTGATTGATGAAAAATCACACAAAGGCGCTTCTGAACCGTATGTTGTACCTAAAGATAAAACTTGTAAATGTATGGCTATTACAGAATCTATCGTTTCTGTAGCAAAATCAACATTCACTCCATTCCATTTGGGACTGGCCTTGCAGTGTTTTCATGAATACTGGTCACGAACATTGATAGAAATTTTGCATTCACATGGCTTTTGTGCTTCCTATGCAGAGGTAAGACAATACCTGACAAGCATTGCCATGCACGAGGTTGACCGTATTCAAGACGGTATCTACGTTCCAGACGGCATTGTTTCAAAACATCAAGGGGGGTGTTTGATACAAGAAGGTGCTGTCAATATAGACCTCAACACAGAGACAATTGAAGATAAGGACCCGTTTCATTTCATGGCACGAGCAGTTTTCTTGTTTTTCAGTCTCCAGTAGATTCGAATCTGCGTCAGATGAAAGTGAAGGGAGGTCAAGATAGAACGTTTCAGTTGACTGACAGTGCATCGTCGTTGACGGCTGTTCCTATTCGTGTTCCGAATGGTTTCAAAAACATTTCATATCAAGCTGAAAAAATGGAAAACACATCGGAGACTCTTTCGGTAATTTTACGTTCCATGTCAAGAGATATTGAAAACTTTCCTGTTCAGTTAGAAACGTTTGACCATCATTTTGGACCGGATATAACAGTACTCTTTCTGACTTCAGGGTTGAATTCTCTGTGTTGTCGTACGCTCCAATTGTAGACCCTTAACCAAGTGATATGTCAACAGTTTACACGACTATGAAACGATGTTCAGATATGACAAAGTCTAAGGACCACAAGTATTCGTTTCAGACATTCGACCAGCAGCTCTATGCAATTACGAAACAGGTGGAATGGGCAATGCCAGAAACATTTAAAACGCACATTCTTCGTTTAGGTGGCTTTCATACTCTTTTATGTTCTTACGGGTTATATATTTTATGGCGGTATAATACTAAACCCCTAACAGGAGGGATTGTGCCTGATATTCATATGATGAAGACATAATCTTTTAATCAGTTTAATTGAGGCCTGGAGCTGGCATATCAGTAACTGCTAGTAGTCTGTTGTTTTTTTTATGTATTATTGTCATTTTGTTTATTTTCTTTTGTTTCCTATTCTGACATCGGACTCGGACTTCTTTTATACTGAGTTTTACTTTACGAACTGTTGTGCGTTTGTTTTTTCTACGTTGGCTAGAGGTATAGGGAGAGGGTTTAGATCTCAAAAAACATGTTTAACCCCGCCGCATTTTTGCGCCTGTCCCAAGTCAGGAGCCTCTGGCCTTTGTTAGTCTTGTTTCATTTTTTAATTTTAGTTTCCTGTGTATAATTTGGAGTTTAGTATGACGTCCATTATCACTGAACTAGTATACATATTTGTTTGGGGGCCAGCTGAAGGACGCCTTCGGGTGCGGGAGTTTCTCGCTGCATTGAAGACCCATTAATGGCCTTCGGCTGTTGTCTGCTCTATGGTCGGGTTGTTGTCCCTTTGACACATTCCCCATTTCCATTCTCAATTTTATCTCTCATGATTCATTGCGTCAGTTGGGAAACTTTAGGGTGATCGATTTATTAATTGACTCATCTGTATATGCAGCATGGACCGTTGATCAGATGATGTGTGAGAAACAGTTCAACCGTGATGTAAGAGCATTAACTGTTATGTATGAGGCGTTGGTTGCTTTGTCGTTATCCGCTTTCTTTCAATGGTGCAGAGACAATGATTTGATGACTTCGTTTCCTGATTGATTCTGGACATTACTGTCTGAGGTGGTCTCAAATTTCAAAAGTGGCAAGGACAATAATAAATCTATAAACGAACCATTCTGATGCCATGTTTTGAAGAGTTCATACAGTGGGGAAGTCAAACATCACCGACGTTCAAGTATTGGGATATGTTTTACCTGCTGTAGAAATCATGATCCAGAACGTTAGGGCGGAACGAGAGGGTTCGTGGGATATGCATTTGACTTCGATTGCTTCAATGTTACCGTACATGTTTATTGCAAACAGAGTTAAATATTCCAGTTGGTTATCTGTACATATTTTAGAAGCCAGGCGAATTTTATGGGGTATTGAGCGACAAGGAAACAGAAAAGACAGTAATTAAAGATTCAAAAGGCCGTGGTGGTATAATTCGCTGGTCTCTCACCCTTCATGAGGAAACTCGACCAACTGCCTTACGAGACGAAGAGCATGTCAAACTTGTTATAGAACATATTCACTAGCGAATGACAAATCCTTTCGATGTAAAATCTCATCCCAAAGCAGTCATTAACATCTCAACTGGAATGCCTAAGGATATTGAATCATCACTGACAAAAGCATTTGATGATGGCATGAAAATGGTCAAATCGTTTGTCAATGGTGCGTTGGCAGAAGGTAACAACAGTGACTTCTATGGCCCAATACCTAAATCAAAAATAAAAACCTTCGAAGACTTAACGAAAAAGTCTAAAATCAAGTGTAGGTCAGGAGAGGTTCTTAGTGTACATATAAGTCCAGAATTAGCATTCCGTCGTGTCCTAGTTCTTGTAGGGTGTCATGAAGACATTATAATAGAGAAGGTTCTATCCCTCCTAATCGGACCTGTTCCTACCTCTCTTTTCCACGAGGACAGCACTATGCGAAAAACATGTAAGGCCGATCTTTGCCAT